GACATTTCTAAAGCTCTTGCAAACAAACTTTAAAGGGCTAAATAAGTACTACTATTATATATAATAAGTGTCAGTTGCATTGGATTAATCTGTATCTGTGAGTAAAGAGGAGATAAGATATGATCTCGAGATAGAACTGTAGAGATTTAGAACCAATTTATGGGTGAGGAAAAAGTTAAGGATACTCCAAGTATGAGAATCTGGATAATCTCCCTGGTTTTATGGATTAACCCTTTCATGTAATAAATTACCTCCACTTCTCCCATCTGGCACTTCCTCTCAATTATCCAATCTTCTGTGACTGGAAGAGAAAGCAATGTCACAGAAGCCATTCATGGAGACGATATCCAGGAAAGGGATTAGTTGACAATATCACAAACTTCTGAAGAGATCAAGAAAGATGAGGGCTAAGAAAACACCATCAAAGTCAGTAATTGAGAGCTCCATTACCTTTTGAAAGAGCAATTTCAGTAGAGCAGTAGGGTTAGGAGCAAAATTTAAAGGGATTGAGGAATGAATGAGTAACTGAAAACTGGAAACAACAGAAATAGCTCTAGCGTAGCAGTGAAAGGAAGGAGAGACATAGGTCATAGCTTGAGAGGACTAAAGAATTAGTGAAAGGTTTTGAGTTTTGCTTTGTTTTTAAGAATAAGGAGACCTGGGCATGTTTATAGGCAGTAGGAAAGGAGCCCAAAGATGAAGATGATCAGAGAGAGAGAAAGAGAGACAGAGACAGAGAGAGAATGCTGGAAAAAGCAAGTCCTCAAAGATGGAAGGGGAGGGGTTTTTGTTAAGGAGAAGGATCACCCTCTTCCTTTAGAGACTAGAGCTGAAGAAGAGCAGATGAGGGAGGTGTAAAAGGATTGTGAGATGGAAGATTGGGAAGATAAGGGAGCTCATAACGGATGTTATAAATTTTCTCAGTTAATTGAAAGATGAGGAGATCATTGCCTGAGAGAATAAGTCAAGAAGGGTACGTTTTAGATCTAAGAGAAATTCTCATTTTGAGAGAGCCAATAAGGAAATAAAAAGGTCATCATGCAAGGTGACAACCTAGCTGAGGTTAGATAACATGAATCTATAGCATCACAGTCTCAGTTTGATCATTTGTAAAATGAAGCTGTCCTCAGTCACCCCTAAGGTCCCTTCCAGCTCTAAATCTGTGATCTATGACAAGAGTTTGATTACTGAACCTTCTACTTTCTACCTGTGACGTCCCCAAATCATTTAACCTCTGAATCTCAGTTGGATTAGATGACCTCCAAGGTTCCTTCCAACTCTAATTACGATTCCGTGATCTTAGAGGCAGGAGAGGACAAGTACACAAGTACATTGCATACAGGGTAGACAAGATGTGAAAAAGGCAAAGGAAAAATGTAGAAAAATTTGAGGAAGGAGGGACCACTTTCACCTGGAGCCTTCGTGAGTAACATGGTACTGGAGTTATGTCTTGAAGGAAGAGAAGAACTTTGAATGACAGAGATGAAGAGGAAGCATATTATAGGCATGAGAAGGCAGCAGGGGGAATGCAGGGCTCAGGAGTTGTAGGCAATTGAGGTTAAGTGACTTGCCCAGGGTCACATAGCTAGTAAGTGTTTGAGGCATGATTTGAACTCAGATCCTTCTGACTCTAGGGCCAATACTTTATCCACCATACCCCCTCACTGTCTCTAGAAAGTAGCCCAGTTCTGTTGGAGTGTTTGCACTCTAGATGTGTTCTACCAGCTGTTGCATGGTCCTGCAAATGAAGACGAGTAATGAGAAATAAGGTTGGAAAAGTTGACTAGAACCAGAGAGCAGAGAGCTTAAAATGCCAGGCTATAAAATCTCACCTTCCCAGTCTCCCCAGCTCTACTGCCTCCCCCTTTCAAATTACTTTCATCTGCTCTGTGTATACTTTTAATTTACCAGTAATTTACATGTGATCTCCTCTATTCAAGTGTAAGCTCCCTTGTGGGCAGGGGCTATTTTTTGCCTTTCTTTGTATCTCCAGCATTTAGCACAGTGCCTGCTGTGAGTTAAGCATCTAACAAATGCTTGTTGACTGGTTTATTGTAAAATGAAGTGCTTGGATTTAGATAATCCATATGATCCCTTCCACAGTCTAACATTCTACAAATGTTTGAACACTACATTCTTTTCTAGATGAGATATTTTCACTTGTTAAAACAAAAAGTCCTTGATGACTTGTGTTTTCCTCCCCCAAAGTGTAAAGCAGCTTGGCTCAGAGGAAAGAACATTGGGACAAGAGTGAGGTAACTTGGGCTTTAATCCTGAACCCGATGCTCATTCATGGTGCTATCTAGACCAAGTAAGTCAGTGTGTTGGGATGATAAGAACACCCTTGAACTTGCCCATAAATCAGGGATTCTTAACCTTTTTGTGTGTGCCATGGATCCCTTTAACAGTCTGGTGAAGCCTCTGATAAATCCCTTCTTGGAAAAAATGCATAAAATAAAATACATATTGGATTACAAATTATGTTGAAATACAGTTACCAAAAGTATTCTTTAAAACCAAGTTCACAGATTCAGATAAGAAGCCCTGCTCTAGATTAAAAGGGAAGAAGATGAGCTAGCCTCCGATGCTAGACTGCATGTCTCTGGCTCCCATTCAAGGACCTTTTCAGCTTGGCAGAATCTACCAGAGTGTCTTGTTCTGCTGGCACAGACTTCGATATCCCAGGTCACCTCCATGTTGTGATGAAACATCAGAGAAGGGCTTTTGTAGTAGAGATATTGTTTATTTCTTATAACTAATATTAAAATCACCAGGCATTTTTCATTTCAAAACAGTTTTTATCATCTCTTTGGATCATACTTGAGAGTTGGAGCTGGAAGGTATCACAGACTCATGGAACAGCTACCGATATACATCTGGCAGGGCTGGTAGGAAAGAGTATGGAGACTTTCAAATCAGAACATCTGACTCTGCTACTTATTGTCTATGCAGCCTTGGACATGTCAACCTGGGTAAATATCTCCAAAGCCTAATCTTGAGAAGTCCAATTTTTTGGGGGGTGGGGGGGTCCAACCTATGATTTCACTAGTAGGGAAGGCTTAGGAAGAACCCTTCTCTCTATCCAGGCAGTCTGGCAGTCACTCTAAAACTCAAGGTTTTGGAAAATTGCCTGGGGTATGGAGAGATTAATTTGACTTGACCATGAACCCAGGTCTTCCTGACTCCTAACACAGGCTCTGTCTATCCATTTAACCATACTGCCTCTTATTTTTTCCCCTCAATATTCTAAGGACCAATGATTCACTGGCATGAGGGCCTCTCCCTACTGCTGCAGATCACCAGTAGGTAATCTGCAGATCAGGACCTGCCCAAGGTCCTGACTAGGAGCCACGGTGGTCCTTGACCAAATAGCATCCCAGGGGAGGTCCTGTAGCAGAAAAAGCACCGGATTTGAAGTCAGAGGTCAATGACTCACTACCTAACTCTACTACCTGTATGACCCTGGGTAGGTCCTCTAACTTCTCTGAGTCCCAGTTTTCTCATCTGCCAAATGAAGCACCTAGACTAAGAAATCTCTATAGCCCTTCCCAGATCTGTTTATGATCCTAGAATCCACCCCATGCTATAGGAATTCTGGGTCAACCTGATCATAGGCTAAATCCACGAAGCGTGGTCAGCCTTTAGAATATATTGAACAGAACAGCTCCCAGAAGTTATTCTGCAGGGAGGTACTGTCACGGAAAAAGCACAATGGTTTAAAAGACCTGAGTCTACTATTTATTTTCTATGTGGCCCTGGTCAAGTCAATCAGTCTTGCTGTTTCTGTCCCTGTCTCTCCTCTTTGCCTTTAGCCTTACTACCTCAGGGCATCATCATAAAATGAGAAGATTGAATCTGATGGCCTCTCCATACCCTTCTGGTGATTCCCTATTAGATCCTCCCTCCTGGCAACAGTTTAAAACCCAATTTGTGAAAAGGAAAAGATAGTGATCACAATACACAAACCAGGGACTGTCTACACTCACAAAATGTACTAGTCTGTACAAAGCTGTGCTGCTGTTTTTTGCCCCAGATACCTACCACTGGTTTGGTTTTTGCCAGGATGTTGTTACCTCCTGAGTGGCCTGAAAGTTGAACATCAGGCCAACTGCAATTTGTATTGCCAATCCACATAGCCAGCCCACATGCATCCTGGATGCCCCCCAAAAACTAACTTCTTGCTGGTCACTAGTATTTCATGATGGCAGGTCATGCTAGCAGCTTGGATCAATTCATGATTGTTACTGATAATGGCTCTCATGTGGATGCCAAACTGATATTCGCAAAACACAGATCTGACATCATCCTCTTCCCACTCAAAAATCTTCAGTAGCCCCCTATTGCTACTAAGACAGGATACAAAAATCCTCAGGCTGGCACTTAAACCCTTCACTATTTGAACCTCACCTCCTTTTGCTACCTCATATCATATTGCCTCCCTTCAAGAACTCTCCATTCCACTGAGACTGGCCAATTAGCTCTTCCTTAGAGAGGAAATTATATCTCCCACTTTCCTGTCTTTGTAAAAGTGAGCCCTCTTGTTAGAGAATGGACTCTCCTCTGACTTCTGCCTCTTAGAATCCTCAGCTTTTTTCAAAGTCTAGTTTCAAGTACCACATGAAGCCCTTTCTGATCCTGCCCCCCACCCCTGCACCCTCATTTCTTTGCCTCCTGAAATTACTTTGTATGTATTTTTCATTTACTGATTTATGTATAAGATTGTAACTTCTGATAGAATATATTTCCTGAGGGCAGGGACCAATTCTTTTTTTTTTTTTGTATCCCCATCATCTAGGACAGTACCTTGTGAGTAACCGGGCTCTTAACTGTTTTAACTGAATCAAATTGATGATTATAATCACATGGCCTACACACACACACACACACACACACACACACACACCTACACACCCCACACACACACACCCCTCCCTCCCTCCCTCCACACTGTGGGATTTGATTCATTAGAATCCAGGGTCTTCACTTCAGACTTTCTAAACCCCTTTGCATAGGCAGTTCCCCCTATGCTTGGAATGCTCTATTTCATCATTTCTTTTTCTAGGAAATCCTAGCTCCTCCACTCCTTGGCTCAATTCAAGAGCCCCTTCCCTCAAAAGGCTTCTCCTGATCCCCCCAAATTGTCAGTGTCCTTAAAACAATGATGCTCTTGTTTTGCATGTGTTTTGCATATTCACTTCCTGGTGATCCCCTAGTAGAGTGAGTGCTCCCCAAAGGAACAGGACTATCTGACTTTTGTCTTTGTATCTCTAGCATTTATCATACTGCCTGACGTGTGGCAGGTATTAATAAATGGCTGGTCAATTAAGCGAGATTAAGCAATGTTACTCAAGGCCAAAGCCAAGGACAGCAAAAGCGTCTCCCACCCTCTCCTTCCAGCCTCTCCCCCTCCCCTAGGAAGCAAAGCACTGTGGATGAGGAGGAAAGCATCACCTCCAGGCAGCCCACCACCCCAAGCAAATGCCTGTTTGGGCAATCGCAGAAAGCATCAGCAGCCAGTTTGAGAAAGTTACGCTGTTTTATTTCACAGGACAGCTCCACGTCAAACCAGCGGCTTGGTCTACAGGGCACCATCAGTGTGTGGGAGGGACAGAGGATCCAAACAGACAGTCTAAATGAAGGACATTTGGTTGTACCATACAGAAACAATATCCAGAGGAACAATGATGATCATCAAAGTGGGGAGGGGAGGGCACAGTTTCCCCGGGTTGCTTAGATTGGTTTGTGTACAGTAAGATTGAGTTAGGGGTGGGAACAGGCGAAGGGGATGGAAGGGAAGACAAGAAATGCCAGCCACTGGAAAGTGATCAGAATTGTCTCTACTGCCAAACCATGTAAACTGTCACACTGCTAGGAGATAACAGAGTTCAAAATGTACAAAAATCTCTATCCAGGGTATACTTTCTATCTAGGAAGGGAAAAGTGCACTAATGTTCTGGTTACAGAGAACAGTCACGTTGAAGTGGCTGGCATGGGAGAGTTCAAAGGGAAAGAGGAATCAGCTGATGTGGGGAGGGAAGTTGGCAAGAGCTGCCAAGCCAGCACCAGAGAATGGGCTGCCTACTTCTGGAAAGAGCAATCTCTGGAAGCCTGTAAGAGGGGAGCCCAGCAAGCCCCACATGTTACAGGATTGCCACTCCTCCCTGGCCCCTACCTTCAAGCCTTGGCACAGGTGGGAATCCCAGCTCTCCTAAAGACAGAAAATTCCAAACAATCCAGGAGAAATAGATGTCTGAATTTGAACCCAGGCTTAAGATGTCTGAATTTGCTCTGCACAGCAGAAAATCAACTCATCAACAACCCCCTCCTCCTATTCCCTGTCTCTTCCTTCCCTTTCCCCCATCTATGCCACCCTTTTTAGGTCTGGGGCCCTTCTGGGCTTCTCAGTGGCTAGTTCTGAGGCAACCAGAAGGAGCCTTGGCCTGGCAGTCATGAACTTTGACACTTAACAGCTGTGTAACTCCAGGCAACTCACCCTCACCCCCAACCACCACCACCATTCTAAACAGAGGTCTCCTCATCTGTAAAAGAGAGAGAAAAATACTTGCACCATCTACCTCACAGGGTTGTCATGAGGGAAGCGCTTTATGAACCTTAAAGTGCTAAATAAATGAGTTTTTATTATCATAGTTGTTGTTCCTTGTTGGTGAAAAAGGTAAATAGTGAAAAAATCAGGAAGCAAAAGACTGGGGGGGGGGGACGACTGTGACATATGTCCTTGGGGTCTGTCCTTTGGCCAGGTTCTGCACTTTAAGTGCCAACATACCACCACGTAGTAGGAAGGCCTCCACATTCGTGCTTAAAAGAATGAGAAAACCCGCAAGGCAAGCCCAAACCAGCCAAGCAGCTGGTCCAAGTACGGTCCTCCTGGAAGCCCGTGTTCCCCTTTAGGTTAAGTACTATGAGGAAAAATGTTTCATACCTGTTTATCAAGCTGTCCCCTCACTTCCTATCAAAGAATCCAATATTTCAGAGTGGGAAGGGACATCAGAGCCACGCAGGCCAACCTCAAGTGAAGAAGAATTCCCTTTGTAATTTGTCCTACAGTTGCTCCGACAGTCTTTGCTTAAAGATCTCCAAGGGAGTCTGGCATCCTACAGAGGCGGCCCATTCAGCTTTGGGGTGACTCTCATTGTTCCGAGTTTTTGCTTTCAGGAAGCTTGAATTTGCTTTTTTTTTTCTAACCATTTCTGCCCAGTGTTCCTATTTCTGCTCTGTGAGGCAGAAACTCCGTGTGACAACCCTCAAATACTTCAAAACAGATATCATGTCTTCCCCCTCCCTCTCCTCCCACTCCCCCCCCCTCCAAGTTTCTCTTCTCCAGGATGTTTAATCCCTAGTTCCTTCAGCATATCCTCCTATGGCAAGGACTCAAGGTCCTTCGCCATCTTGGCTGACCTCCTTTGAACACTTTCTACTTATCATCTTATAAGCCATGATATCAGAAAAGTGGCTCATCTTCTTCCCCACCTCCTGCTGCTCCATTTTTTGATTAAAAGGTCCCCTCCTCCCTTGGGAATTTAGCCCAATGGTATGAAAGGAAAAAAATCAGGCAGCATTCACTTCCCATGCTTAGGATTCACGCCAATCTTGTGTTCTGGGATTTTCTAAAGGCGCTTAAAGGTGAGAAAACATTCGCACTGAAAACAAGAAAAGGCAAGAATTTCATAGAGACCCACAGTTATTAAAGAGGAAAAGAAAAAAAAAAGGAGTCAGGGTGGGAAGCAGGATTTGATCTCAAGTACCCGAGAAAGACTGGCAAATGATGGTCCTCTCTCCAGGACAGCATGGGAAACTGGACCAGAAATCATGTCTTTGGTCAGTTTTAAATGAATGTCTCACTGGTTCATCTTTAGAACAGACTGACACCTGCCCCCCCAGAAAGACAAAAAGGCTTTGGCCTCAAGAGTTCAACTAAGGTGAAACAAACAAAACAAAAAAACTCCAGAAAGCCAGAGAGCTAGTTGAGATCATCACAGTTTTCCACAACGCTTACGAACAAGTGTGTAAACACCACTTCCCCTTTTAAAATTGATTATACTGAGGACTATTAACTAATGACTACATTTCCCCCACACACACACTGTACAGTGAAAGATTAGGTTTGTGGGGGAGAGGGTTGTTTTGTTTTTATATTGATCTATCTACTAAGTGCAAAGATTTGGTCAGTGGCACTGGCTACCATTAACATTTAGCCTTTTTTTATATAGTTTACATTTCAATAGTTACTTTTCTAGCATTTCAACAAATACAACAATATCAATCAGACTAGAACAGGCAAGGGTCAGGAAGACACTGCGTTGTGAAGCATGCATGGGTCCTGGCTATTGAGAGAGAAAGTGAGAGCAAAAAATCATGAGGAATTTGTCTTCCTTTTGCTTCTGCCCAGCAGGTCAGCATTCATCCTGGGGGGCAATGTAGCTATGGTACTTCTACCCAGGTGGGAGGCCTCTCCTGAGTAAGCAAGTGTGAAATAATTCCATAGGAAGCAAACAGGGTGCTGAAAAGAAAGTTACTAAGGCTTTATCCACACCAGAGCCCAAGACGATAGTAAATTCAATGGGGGGAAATATCACTGGCAAAATTTGGAGAGGGGAAAAAAAATCATCCCAGTGGACTGGTAGAATTTTTCATTTTGCAAATGCCTGTCTTGGTGGTATGGGATCATTCAGCCAAAATGGCAAGAGGACTAAATTCAGACTGGTGGCTCCTCAGCAGAAGGGAAGGAGTCTTTAGTCCCTAGAAGATGATACAACAGGCTTGCAAATAAGTGACCGAAATGTACCAGTCTCTATATCTTTTTTTTTTTTTATAAATGGGCAATTCTTTTATAGGAAGTTTTTTAAAAAGTGCCCATTAGGGTACCTATTCCAGGGATTATACAATATAGTGGACAGAGCACTGCATTAGGAGGTTAAGTGACCTAGGTTTTCAGCCCTGGCTCTGCTGCTTAGCAGCTAGCTATATGACCTCAGACAAGGTCATTTCTCTGCAACTCTGTTACCCAATCTCAAAAATGGCAATAATGGTTCAGCAGGGGATTGAGTCAGGTGATCTTAGGCCTCTTTTATAATTAAGATTTTCAGTTCACAAAACTAGGACTGGCCTTAGGCAAAATTGTGATGGATTTGAAACTTCACTTTGGTTCCCCTTCCTACATATCCATTTTTCCCCTTTCTACAGCCTTCAGAACCCTTTCCCTCTCCAGGTACCCCATATCTTCATGCACCCTGGCTCTTGCTATCAGACAGGAAAACATCCCATTCATTAACACTAAGACCTGAGGACTTAATATGACATGCTTCATGTAGGGAGGGGATACTGTTATATTTTCCAAAGGGTGCAGGTACAATGCTTAAGCTAGAGGAATGAATCACTAATGGGAGAATTCCAGGGATCGATGTTCCAGGACGGAGGTAAAAGCTCCCTCTGATGTATCTAGTGAGCTCTTCGAGCAACAGATGCTATTACTGATACAAGATGACAACTGGCTCCTTGATTGGCTGGCAAGAAAATTCCACCACCATCTACCCCTCTAATACCAGAAGGTTTTCAAGGGTTTGAGCAGAACTTCCCTTGCTCATCAGCACAGCTATGAAAGTAAATACCAAGAGGCCTAGGGAAGCAGGGGTGAAGGAAGAACCGGACAAAGTAAGCAGAGGGTTTTCCTGGAAGGATATTCAAGATCTAAGTAGGAGGGCTCAGATTCAAACTGGGTTCACCTGTGCTCCAATACCCTGTGGCTTTTGGCACATCCCTGGGGAAATGGATTCAAGAGACCAGAAGAGAAAATAAAATGAACTAAAGAAACACAGAGGGTCCTGAACCCAGTCAGGAGAGAGAAGACTCAATCATCATACAATAAGAAATCATGCATCCCAGCTCCATCAGCACATTTTCTCCTCCCCAAAGGGAGGAAACAGAAAGCAATTTCATTTGCATAAACTCCACCAGCTGTATTATACAGTATAGAAAGTGCAAACTCTTACCCCATCAGACTGGCTCCTGTCTGATCTGGTCAAATATGGCTCATGCGTTTCATGCAAGAGGGAGGACCCCAACCCAAGTTAGACTTTCGGGAATGACTGTGCAACTTGAAATAAACCAATGAAAACCAAAGCCTCCTTGCCTGTTTAGTCCCAATTTGACACGGTGATAATTAGTAAAAAAGAGAAAAAGGCAAATTAAGGATTTCCCAAACAGTCTAAGTTAAACCACTATAGTTACACCTATCGGTTTATTACTACTGCTCTGTTGGGTCTGGAAGTATTCAACACCACTGTATTCTCTTTTTTTCTTTTTTTTTTTAAACACACACAACACTGTGCTACGTTTCGGCTTAGGTACTTATAATCCCCTTTTCTACACACAAATACAAGGGTTTGGTGGTCGGGGGTAGGGTGGGGTGGCAAGGTTCTTGTCGTCCATTTTTAGTATACCTTAATGGCAGACGGCTGACCCTCATCCCTCTTGTAGGTTACCAGGAGTCTTTCAAGGCTTGACATGAAGGGTTCCCCAGTCACTGAGGAAAGCCTGTTTGCCAGTGGCACTGCTGTCGCCTTTCTGAGTAGACGGTTACAGAAGTTGCGCCAGTCTCGAGACGCCCACTTACATGGAAGGGAAATCTCCAAAGGTCAGAGCTCTATTGCTTCATGCACAGTTGCTGTGTGCCCCAAAAATCTCCCAGAGAAGCCCCACAAATCCAACCAAACCACTCTACGGGAGATGTTTAGTGGCACAGGTCTGAGGTAAATCTAATTTTCATAAAAAGGAACATGATACTTTGTACACTTGGTATGTGTGTTTACATATATAGTATATGTATATAGATGCATAAATATGTATATATATATACACACCCACAGACACATACATACATATCTATATCTATATATATCTCTATATATATAGAATAATTTCCAGTGACAATAAGCAGAATAAGCCTTTTTACACTTTGCTGAAATCTTATGAAAAGCTTCTGTTCAGATTACTTCGGTGTATGTACATATCCTATGCATATATACACACACTTTATGTCTATCCGTTTCTGCAAATAGATAAATACAGATGGCAACCAATACCATAAACTCAATGCTTCACACATCTTCCTGGTTAAGTTGTCTTTGGACCATTTTTCTTCTCCTGATACCAGAAGACATCCCCACCCTGGGGTTTGTCCTGGAAAGAAGTGGCCGCCAATGGTAACAACTCGGGTTTCCTTCATTTGAGGCCATGGGGTTCGGGCACTACATGGTCCCTGACTTATCGGAGGAGTTGTTGGGGAACATCTTTTCGGTGGGGGTCACTGCTGGGCTGCCCATCCCTGAGCTGCTGCTGCTGCTGGATCGGTGCTGGACGACGGGGCGGATGGGCCGCATGGGGGGGGCGGAGCTGGGCACCTGCCAGCCGGGCAGACAGCGCAGGTTTGAACGTCGTCATCATCTCTGTGGTGGAGCTGCTGCTGCGGCGCATGGCGGCATCCGGGTCTCGGATGACGATTGTGTGCAGGGGGCTGGCGGGTTCTGAGCTGATGGAGCCCAGAGGTGGGTTCTTCATGGGCTCTAGCGTGTCTAGGACCACATCTGGAGCCTGCTTGACTGTGTTTTGCCTTTCAAGCTCTCGAAGCTCATGGAGGGCCGTGCTCATGGTCTTCTCGATGTCCTACAGGGAGGAAAGAAAGCAAACCCATCGGCATCCCCAGCTCTATGAAAGAGGCAGCAGGAATCCCAAGTTCTTGTCCTGGTTCTGCCACTGACCAAGCTGTGTGACCCTGGACAGGTGACCTAATCTCTCTGGGCCTCAGATTTTTTATATGTAAAATAGGGAGAATAACTTTCCTCTTCTCCCTCCCCCATTACCTTCCTTATAAGGCTGCTTTGGGGTCAAAGTGTTGTGAAAAGTTGAAAGATCTAGACAAACCGAAAAGATGATTCCTATTGTGAGGATACAATTTCTGAGAACCAAGCCCTCTTATCCAGGTCTACAACATTGGTTCCTAGGGTCTCAGTCTAGAATCAACATGGCTGGAAGCATGGAACTCCTCTACATCATAACTGGCAAGGGGTCTTCCAGCCTTGGTTTGAGCATCTCTAAGGTCCCTTCCAGCTTGGTGTGTATGATCCCATGACCTCTGGGGACAGGGACCTTAATTCCTTTGCAAGGCAGTACCTTTCCATTGTGGGACACTTTTAGTTGTCATCAGGTATATTGAGCTAAAATCTGCCTTTCTATAACTTCTAGTCCTGCCCTCTGGAACCACTCTAAACATGTCAACTCTTCACATGACAGATTAGTAATAGGGACTGATCTGGATATTTCATCGGCATAGAGAACTCCCAGGAGAAGAAACTCTCTCTATCCACACAGGTCTGCATCTTCCCTGAAACTTGAGCGTCCTAGAGAGTTGACCAGGGCACTGGGAAGATGTGTCAAAGTGACAACCCTTCAGATATTTCCAGGTTTTCGTTTCCAATCTTGATTAAACATTTAACTTCCTGGAGCTTGGACTTCTCATACTAGAAGTACTCTCTGCCCTTGAAGCCCCATCATCTGTTTGAATGGCTCTTCTCAGAACCTCCATTCTAGGGAAAACTCTCAGGCCAGTCATGTCTTCATTCTTCTCTAGGCCCCACTCCTGACTATCTGGGCTTTCTCCATGTTGCTGCCTAGGTACCTCTGTTTCCCCTTACACTTTTTCAGTTCTCTTTTATGCGTTGTCTTACCCCACTAGAATGTAAGCTTCTAGAGGACAGGATCTGTCATTTTCTTTACATTTATATTTCTAGCACTTAGCACACTTTAAGTGCTTAAGGAATGCTTTTTTTTTTAACTGTTTACTAGATGTCCTCTGATAGCCCTTTCAGATCTGAGATTATGTGATTCTCTGACTCTTAATAATCTTAGCTAGGAAATATTTTCAGTAAGCAAAGTTTGTTTTCAGTGGCAAAGCCCTTCCATTCTCCTTTCTATATTCTGTTCCTTTTTTTTTTTAACTTCATTCCTCCTCAGCTGAATATCCAGATGTTTCCTCTGGCTTCCCACAATCGCCATTGTGGGACACCAGGGCCTCCCCTCCCCGCAAAGGGCTCCAACCTCCAAACCTTCCTCATCCAATTGTCTGAAACAAAACTCACCTGTCATGTCCCATGTTTTCAGGGCCTTGCTAGATGACTAGTGCTAATTTAACAAATTAACTGGAACTAAAATATTCATAGTTGACAAAGGCTAAATGTTATCCCTTCTTTAAAAAAAAATCTGCATTTTAATGAAAAACACATACCTTGGGAGAAACGTAGGTACCACATCCCTTTCTCCTCATCTCACATCACTCAGATGCCTTTTGCCTTTCTCTTCCTTTCTCCTTGTCTCACATGAAGAGGTGGCCCTTGTCCACGCCAGGGCAAGCCCCTCTTTATGCAGAAGTGATTCCGTTCCATCCTGTCTTTTCCAGATGATTGCCCCCCCATCATCCCTACTCTCTCACTAAACTTCAATCTCTCCATGTCTACTGTATGTTTCCCTACAAACAAGCCTACATCTCTTCTATCCTCAAAAAACTCCCACTTGCTCCATCTATCCCCACTACATCCTTCCTATCCACTATTATCCTACATTCTCCCTCCCTTTTGTGGCTAAACTCTTTGAGAAGGTTGTCTACAATCTATATCTCCACCTCCTTTCCTCTTGCTGTCTACTATCTGACTTTTGGCCTCAGCATTCAACTGAAACTTCCCTCCAAAGTTACTAATGACCTCTTTTTTTTCCCTTAGGCAATTGGGGTTAAGTGACTTGCCCAGGGTCACACAGATGGTAAGTGACAAGTGTTTGATCTGAGGCCGGATTTGAACTCAGGTCCTCCTGACTTCAGGGCCAATGCTCTATCCACTGCGCCACCCAACTGCCCCTCAATGACGTCTTGATTGCCAAATCTCATGGCCTTTTCCCAATCCTTCTCTTTCCTGACCACTCTGCAGCCTCTGACACTGTAGATCACCTTTCTGTCCTTGATATTCTCTCCTCTCTAGATTTTCATGGCACCTCTCTTCTCCTGTCAGACTGCTCCTTCTCATTCTCCTTTGCTGGATCTTCATCCAAGTCATGCCCACTAACCATGGATAACTTCCAAGGTTCTGTCTTGGGCCCTCTTCCCCTCACCTCTATACTATTCTGCTTGGTGATTTCATCAACTCTCATGAATTCAATTATCATCTCTATGCTGATGATTCTCAGATCTATTTACCTAGTTTTGATCTCTCTCCTAACCTCTAGTCTTGTATCTCCAACTGTCCACTAGACATTTTGAACTGGATATCCTGCAGACACCTTAAACTCAACATGTTTGGAGCTAAACTCATTTTCTTTCCCCCAAAATCTCCCCACTTCCTAATTTCCCTACTTTTGTCCTCTCAGTCACCCAGGTTCCCAACGTTGGAGTCATCTTTGACTCCTCACTCTCTCTCACCCCTCAAATCCAATCTGTTGACCAGCTCTGCTGATTCTACCTTTGTAACATCTCCTGTGTGCACCCCCTTCTCTCCTCTGGCACTCCCACTAGCCTAGTGTGGACCCTCATTACCTCACATCTGGACTACTGAAAATACCCTTCTGGTGGGTCTGCCTGCCTCATCTCCCTTGACTCCATTCCATCCTTTACTCAACTGTTAAACTGATCTTCCTAAAGTACAAATCTGACTTTAATCAATCCCTGCCCCCTACTCAATAAACTGCAGTGGTTCCCTACTGCCTTTAGGATCAAATATAAGATTCTTCATTTAAAGCCCTCCATAACCTGGTCCCTTCCTACCTTTCCAGTCTTTATAGCCATTACTTTCCACCATGTATTCTTTAATCCAGTGGCACTGGCCTCTTTATTCCACAAACAAGATCCTCCATTTCTTGGCTTCTGGCATTTTCACTGGCTGTCCCCATGCATGGAATACCCTCCCTCCTTATCCCCAGCTCCTGGCTGCCTTGATTTCCTTCAAGTCTCAGCTAAAATCCTATCTTCTACAAGAAGCCCTCCCTTACTTCTAGAGCATTCCCTCTGCTGATTTTTCCAATCTGTCATGTTTGTACATAGTTGTTCACATGTTGTCTCCACCATTAGACTGTGAGCTCCTTGAGGGCAGGGACTGTCTGTTGCTTTTCTTTGCATCCCTGATGCCTAGCACAGTGTCTGGAATATAGCAGGCTCTTAATAAATGCTTACTGACTGACTCAGGAGACAGCCATTTAGGACAGCCATGCTCCTATCTGATTTTCAGTTTATCTGATAAATCTTGCTTTCAACATTTTTTTGACCTCATTATACATTCTGCTTAATTAATTCATCTGTTGATACCACTGCTTCCTTTGCTTATTCTAGGCTAGTAGGCTGGCTGAAAGATAAAACTTAAAAACAAAAACAAAAACAAAACCATTTCATTATTTCCCTCACTTTCCCCCAAGGAAGGTGTGAGCCAGAAAGACAGAAAGCTTAAGAGAAAGAACAGCTTGGCTGAAGCTTGTGCCATGCATTGGTCTCAGAGGTGATGCTATCTTTTCCCAGAATGAGGGTGCACAGAGGAGATGGGGAGAGGAATAAAATGGATGGATAAGCCAACAGCTCTCCATATCCTACAGAGGGACTTTATATCAGAGCTTCATTATACAGTCTGAAGTGTTCCAAGTTCTCTGAATATCAGCTATAGTTACTACAGTCAAACAGAAATGGAAAAGCTTATTCCAGAGCCAAGTCAATGGTAGGGTTAATTATTTTTTTACAGTAAGAAGAAATTATCTCTTATTCTAGACTGTTCATGCCTTGGCTTCCCTTCACAATTACACACTCATTAAGAAATTCCCACCCCCCACTAATTCACCAATTCACAAAAACAGTATATATTGTGGGGGAGGAGGGGAGATTTTGCCTCCTAGGCTTATGCTTTCCCTTTCCCCCCATAATTCAGAGAGCAGTCAAATTGATATTTGAATTTTTTTCCTTAATACTGAAGGATAAGGCTAATGGTTCCTTAGACAACAGAACACCATGCTACAACAAAGCTTACATAGACTGACATTCAGATCTTGGGTCAAGCTATGGCTTTGAGTACATGCTCTGTCAGCACCTAGGTATGGGAACTTGGACAAGTGATATCCTCTCTCTTCTGAGTCTCAGTTTTCTCATTTGTAAAATGGGAGGACTAGGTGAAAATCTTGAAAGTCTTGCTCAGCTCTAACATTCCACAGGTCTATGAAATTCTTTGAGTCTCTACCAATAAGAGCTATTTATATATCTAATATATATATATATATCTAATAATAATAATAATAGATATATATCTAATTTTAAAAAGCACTTTAAAGTTTGAAAAGCATACTATCTTCTTTGAGTCTCACAATGACCTGTGAGGAAGGGATTACCAACTGTTTGATTGCTTTGGGGACAGACCTACTATTTTTTCAGTGTAAGGAACTTCTGCTGTGGAGACTCCCTCCATGGCTGCACTTTAGCTACTAGGCTGCAACTTCGTCTTGGAGAGGTGGGTGGGGGCACTAAGTGACTTGCCCATGATCACACTAAGTGTCAAAGGCAGGATTCAAACCCAGGTCTTTCTGATACCAAGTCCAGCTCTCTGTTATGCTACTTCCTCTTTCCTAAAGTGGGAAAAGAAATATGGTATTTTGGAAAGACACTGTATTTCAGTGTCATTCTCACAGATGTAACCTCACCTCTCAGTCTCAGTTTCTCCCATCCATAAAGTGGGGAGAAAAATCCTTATAACGTCTACTTTGCAGGCTTGTTGTGCTCAGTAAGTAGCAACACGTTACAGAAAAGAGAGCTTCTGTAACAGCCTTCTGGACATTCCTCCCACACCATACTCCAGCTTGCAATAGGCTGTTCTTTGTGCCTGGAATGCACTCACTCTTCCCTCACCTCAGCCTCTTAGATGCCCTGGCTTCTGATAAATCTTCAAAGCTCAAAATAACTACCACCTTCTACATGAAGCCTTTTCTGTTCTACTCGTGAATGCTTTCTGCTAAAATTACCTTGTATGATTTTGTGTGTATTTTATAAATACACTTATACATGTGTCTGTGTTATCTCTCTCGACAGAATGTAAGCCCTCTGAAGGCATCCAAGATTTCATTTTTGTATTTGCATCCCTATACCTTAGCACAATGCCTGGCACATAGTAGGTGTTTAATAAAATACTTGTTAAGCAATCATTAATTTCCCTCACTAGGAATCTACACCAATCTTTATGAATACTCATTTTTAAATATATCAGCCCACAAACATTTTCAACCAGAAAATGATAAACTAGCAATTAGTTTAGAGGCAACTGGTGGCACAGTGGGTAGAACTCTGAGCCTGGAGTCAGGAAGACCAGAGTTCAAATCTGCCTTAGATATTGACTAGTTGTTTGACCCTGCACACTGAACTTCTCTCAGCTTCAGTTTCCTCATCTGTAAAATGGGGATAATGATAGAATGCACCTCCCAGGGTTGTTGCAACGATCAAATAAGATAATGTATATAAAGTGCTTTGCAAATCTTAAAGTGCTATATAAATGCCCGCTATTACCATTACTATCAGCAAGAGCTACAGTGTCAATAGTTGAGAAGGACTCCATTGGATACTCTTTCCAGAGGACATTTGTATTTTTAATAGAAATCATCAATGCCTTGACCCAGGAGAGTGGACACTGGGGGTTTCACTCAAGAGAGTGAATGAACAAATAAGGGAAGCCACATTCATGACTAGTGGCCCAGCAGGAGCCAATTCTTGTTCTAGATGAGGGGGCAAAGGGGCATTGGCCAATGGGCTCTACTTGTTCCCTCCCCCTACTGCCCTTTTGGGGGGACCATGCTCCATCAGCCCTGCTCCTGCTATCTCCTTACTTCTGCCAGGGCTTCAGCCTCCAAAGATTTGTGGTCTCCGAGGCTGCTGTGCCGTGTGGAGCCGCAGGTCGACCTCAGCGGGTGCCCGTCGGAAAGGGCCTTCTTGTCCGGGTAGTGGATGCTGCCGGCACTTCCGAAGGTTGCCATCCTCCGCTTCTCTGGGCTCTCGATCCTGCCTCGGTTGAGGGGGATTTTGTGGGGGCTGCTGGGGCAGGCAGCTGCTCGAGGTGGGGTGTCTATCCCTGGACCCAGGCCCCGAGGTGGGCTGTGTGTGTCACCCCCACTCCGGCGACGGGGGATGGCAGCCCCATCTGATCTCAACCGTACTCTGCAAAGGAGCCATGGGGCAGGGGGTCATGGGGAGACAACTTTCAAACATCTCAGCTAACCCATGGGGATTTTACGTGAGCTTTAAGTGAGTATAATAAAATCTCATTAACTCAAACTTCCTTGATATTGAATTTTTCATAATTTGAGCAAACATCAGCCTAGTTTTCCTTTGCACTATTTGTAAAAAAAAAAGGGGGGAGGAAGGGGTTGCTAAGTGGACAAACCATGGTTTGTTTTATAAAAAAGGGGAATGTTTAATCTACTTCCAAGAATAGTCTGCTTTCAAAAATTTAGCTAACAATCTGCAGACAATTAATGGGCTAATAATCATTTTTCCCCTAGTCATTAAAGCAGTATCAGCAGGATACTGCTGATGCTTTATTGGCAGCTAGAGTTATGACCACATGCTTTAACTAAGCAAAACTACATCTCTACAAAAAGTGCTCTGTAATTCTGACTTTGGAATAAATGCAGATATATGTGCCTTCTCCCAAGAAATCTGCATCAGTGAGATCTGATTGGACTGGAAACATGCCCTCCAGAAGAATATTTTTGCTTCTTACAGTCCCTCAAGAATATACCCAGAGACAAAATGAGGTATCATTCACCTTGGACAGATGGCCATTTATGTACCAGGCTGCTGTCAGAGCACAGGATGTCCATGTAAACTGGACATTGTGTCAAGGTCCCTGTGAAAAATCTGAGCTGTGCTCATGGAGGACTCATTAAACATTGGCCAGAAGGCACAGACACTGGAGGGGGGGGAGTGGGATGGCTGTCTATTTATGATTTGGTGTAGGGATGGTTCCAAGGGCCAGAAACAAGCTAACTGAGAAAGGTAAGCCCATCACTTAGCCCCCTCCTCAGGCATTCTAGGAGTTCTGCATTATGTTTCGGTGGCATACTGGACTATAGCATCCTATGGCAGAAAGGTCATTGGGCTTAGTATTGGCAGACTTGGGTTCTAATGGCCATATTATTGACCTGATGCGTGATCCTTGGCAAATCACCAGAGGAGGATAATCCTTGTCTGCCTTATACCTTGTGAGCATCAGATTGGATAATGGATGTGAAAGCACTCTGCAAATGTAAGCTACTGCATTCGGTGAAGGTCACAAAAAGACTTTGAAGAGGCTGTTTAGGCAGGGAGGGCAGGCTAGAAGGGGTGGGGGGAGATGCTGTTTGAGTGTTTTGAGAAAGAAGGTTGTGTAATAGGGGACTGAGTGTTAGATATGGTCAGGAATTCTTTAGTCCTCAAGGTCATTAGCTAAAGCTAAGCAATGCCTGTGGGTGTCCCCCAGCAGGCCTGAGGCACAGGCAGAGAAGAGGAAGAAAGGGTGAAGGGAGGAAAGGAGAGGGAAGGAGAGAGGATCTGATGGTGGGAAGGAAAAAGAGTGAGGCAGGAAGAAAGAAATGGAAAAAGAGGACAGAGAGAAAGAGAGAAGAGAGAGAGGGCAGAGAGAGTAAGAAAGAGAGGAGAGGAAGGAAAGGGAAGGGAGGGGAGGGGAGAGAAAGACAGATGGAGAGGAGAGGAGAGGGGGAGAGAGAGAGAGAGAGAGAGAGAGAGAGAGAGAGAGAGAGAGAGAGAGAGAGAAGGGGGGAGAAGAGGAGGAGAAGAAGAAGAGGAGGGGGGAGAGAGAGAGACAGACAGACAGACACGAGAGTAAGAAAGTGAGAAAGAGAGAAGGAAGGAGACAGATAAGAAGGAGCTATATGAAGGATCTGAATCCAGGTCCTAGGCTGCCAACTTGTTTAATTCCTTCCCCACTTCCCACCCCATTAGTTTTATGCCAGGTGTTTCCTGCACCAACTTTAGCTAACACAGGCGGTTCCCATCCAATCTAGCTTTGCCCAGCACCGAACTTGTGCTCACCTGCTAACTCTTCCCTCCCTCAAGCGCAAGAAGTCACGAGATATAGCAAAACAAGAGCCCGTCCCTACCGGCCCATAGCTCCCCCAAATCCATAGTCAGAGATGTGCTCTGTGGGGGACTGGAGGTCATTCTTGGAAGAGGTCTTGTCATCCAACAGGGGCCCACTGCTGGCTTCACTGTCAGCCTTCTGGCTCAGGCTGTCCGAGAACGCATCATCCCTGGGGACACCAATGGACACGAGTCAAGGATGGGAGCTGCCTCCCAGACTAACAGCCATGAATAGGAAAGGTAAATGCAGCTGCCCCAAGATATCCCTGAGTCCCACTTATCCAGAACTTGCTCCCCGACCTGAGGCAAATCAGATCTCATTCTTGCCCACTGTTGGACCTGAGCTAGTTCAGGTTATCTGCCACCCTTGTTCTTTGCTTTGGCTATTGACAACACCTTTAGCAGTTTCCCTTAGAATAAAAGAACAACAGCAGACTTTTGTATCCCCGTATTTGGGCCTTTTCTTCCTCACACTCTGAAGAGTCAGACCCCAGCCAGGTCAAGGAATTATGGCAAGGGGAGACATAGGACAGGACTGAGTGGACCTTTAAAGGCAGGATGCTGCCTGGTGATCTGGGTAGTCATATAGGATATGGCTTGTGGCCTAGAATATTGAAGGGAAGAATCTGGAAGACCACATTCTCTATCTATCCACCCAGGGCCTGTCCTTGTATTATACTCATTCGTATATTAATCTTATCTCTTATCACCCTTGCATTAGATGATAAATTTCTTGAAGTCAAGGACTATACTATTTTTCATCTTTATTTCTCCAGTGCCTAATATCATGCCTTAAATGCTGGCACAGCAGATAGAGCTCAGGACCCATAGTCAGGAAGATCTGAGTTCAAAGCCTGCACTGGGCTACTCACTTAGACATACTCAACACATACTTAGCTGTATGACCCTGGAGAAATCATTTAACCTCTATCTGTCTTATTTTCTTTATCTGTAAAATGAGGATAATAATAGCACCTACTTTCCAGGTTTGCTGTGATGATAAAATGGGATTAATATTTGAAAAGAACTTTGTAAGTCTTAAAATGATACATAAATGCCAGGTATTATTGTTATCACTGCCATCATTTATTATTATTATTGTTATTACTTAATAAGAGCTTACTGAATTTCGGTAAAAGTATAGCTTCGATGTTCCTCCCATCCCCTTTCAATAATCTCTTTTTCAGCATCTCCCAAGCATCTGGTGCCCTCACGGTGCTTGCTAGTTACCCAGAAAACACCACTACAGAGGACCTGTACCATTCACCATCCCCATCAAAACTTAACTTGTTCTGGGTCTTGTCCCTTCAGACCTTATTGAGAGGGAGACTGAGAAATTAATTTTACTTAAGGCATTAATGGCTGGCAATGGCTTAATGTGGCCCCTCTCCAGTATTACATTTACATTCAGACAGGGTTCCCCAGATTCCTGAACAGTGAGCATTGGGAACATGAATGATGTGTGGCTGGGCCAGGCAAGACACATTTCTCAGGATTTTTGTCATTCTTTAAATCACAACAAATAAGCATTAAATGCCTGGCATCTCTATGTTCAAAAGCAATGAGCCTATTATTTATAGGGCATGTGCTAGGGTCAGGATAAAAAGATAAAAAGGAACATTTGACACCTTCCTGCTCAGCTGAAGACAGAGATAGCATGAACTTTCTATGCATGTGAGTGACAATATGAATCTTAAAATGGTGGGTAAAGACTGGCCTTGGTAGAGTCAAGGAGGGGCTGAAGTATGGGACCAAGGACATCAATCATTGTTACCGTGCACCCAGAAAAGAGTTGTTTGCATATTTGTGAAGTATATCAATGTTAAAGGAGAAGATCTCCCAGTCCTTGGAAGTAGGTAAATGAGCTAAGTGAACTAACTCAATTGGGGTAAGCTGAGGAATGTAATCCTGGAAATCAAACACTTGGGACATCCCAGCAACAATCACACTAATGCAGGTTAAGGAGGAAAGGATGACCTCAGTCCTGTCTCATGTGGACCAGGCCAGGCAGTCCCCAAGCCTACTCACATATCTTGCACAACGATGTACTGATGGGGGATGAGTCCATCCACTCCATTGTGTCGGCCTTCCCACCAGTCTTCAGAGGCCCGGTGGTACAGGAGGAGCGAGGCCCCCTTCTTAAAGGACAGCTCTCGGGGGGACCGTCCCACATAGTCAAACTTGGCAATAGCTTCGATCTGCTCCACTTCTGAAAAGGGCAGAAAGAAGCAAGTATGTGAATGGAAGTCATCTGTGGTCTAAGGAGGGGTGGGATTAGGGGCTTCCAGCTTCTTAAGAAACAGACAGGCAGAGTAGCATAGACCTGGATTAGGAATCTGCTTTCTAGTATCAGCTCTGGCAAGTACTGTGTGACTCTGGACAAGTAATACAGACTCCCTGGGTTTCAGACCCTCAATCTATAAAATGGTAATCAATGCCAAATAATTCTAAGCAACTCCAACTGTCTCCAGACTTTCTGCTCTCCAATCCATCCTCCACAAACCTGCCGGTGATTTTTCTAAAGCACAGGACTGACCACTCCCCTCCTCAGTGGACTCCAATGGCTCCCTATTGCCTTGAGAATCAGATATCAGCACTTCCATTTCATTCTAGCCCTTTACAGCCTGACTTCCAGCCTTGTAACTCATTACTCCCCTTCACCCAAAACTCTGGTGCTGGGTCCCGTCAAACCAGCCTTCCTGCTCTTTCTCATACATGACACTTCTATCTTTCACTCCCCTTTGCACTGGCCATCCCCTCGATCCTGGGATATATTTACTCCCTATTTCCATCCTTAGAATTCCTTCTTTCCTTCAAAATATCGCTCAAGCCTTGCCTTCCACAGGAAGCTTTTCCCTGATTCTTCCCCAGCCCTGCCCTGTCCACAGCTGCTAGGGCTTTTCCCCACAATATTACCATATCACTTCATAGATTTAAACATGTATGTGTAGTTCCCCTCCCCCTTTAGAACATCAGCCTTGAAGGCAGAAGCAATTTCCTATTTGTCTTCATAGCTCTGAACCTAGGATACAGTGGGTGCTTAAGAAATGGTTGCTGGTCACTCAGTTGGCCTCCTTTAGGGTTATCTCTGTGACCTTATTCCCTTATTCTCTACAATCTCCTATTATATGATCATATCCTTAGGGCTGAAGAAACCACAGAATCCAACCTTCCTCATTTTTAACAGATAAGGAAACTAAGACAGACAGCGGTTAAGTGACTTGTCCAGGGTCACACGGCTAGTTAGTGTCTGAGGCAAGATTTGAACTCTGGTCTTCCTGATTCTAAGCCCAGTGATTTTCCACTCTGCCACCTACCTGTGTCTATCATTGACTGGCACATGTGTCTGGAAATTAGAAGCCACTGTATGCACTCTAAAGGCAATGGCCTGGTCTATGTTTTAGCTGCCTGTGATAGGGCTGACCTTGAGGGTCTCCTTAGATAAAGCCCCATTGCTAACCAGTAGACACTGGAAGGGCAGGCCTCTTAGTAGACACCATGGTACATGGAAATATTTTTGGCTCTGAAGTCAGAGGAAGTGGGTTCAAATTCCGCCTTGGCGGCTTATTGTCCGTGGGACCTTGGGCAAGTTGTTAAGTCTCCTAAGCCTCTGTTTTCTCATCTGTAAAGTGAAGGGTTTGGACTAATTGGCCTTCAGAATAGGTCTATGATACTTGGATCCCATAAGGAAGACTGGAGAATCCATGGCCTGCTACAAATGTAGCCCTTTAGCAGGATTTCTCTGAACCCCTGGGTAATACTAGGTTTGCATAGATGTTCTCACTCCAAGAATAATTTAGCCCTGGGCAGTTACTGTGAGGTCGTCCCTCCAAGCAGAGTCTGGAGGACAAGAGCAACTGAGAGGCCGTGGAGGACACAGAAGGGCTCTCAAAGGCGTGGGTTCGTATCTGGACCTGACCTTAGAGATCACTCAGTCATACCTTCCCATTTCACAGAGGAGGAAAGCAAGGCCCTACCTGCCCAAGTCACCTAGTACGACAAATGCAAGAGAATAGGGAATAACAGATTTCTATTCCTACAACTCAAGCAGAGAGTGGCTAAACTCCTATCAGGACCTAAGCCATTTATTTCTCTCTCTGTCCATTATTCTACCTCTGAATACTGGTGTTTTCCTTTCTCTTTTTCCCTTCCTCCTTCTTCTCTCTCTCTCTCTTCTCCCTCTCCCTGTTTCTGTCTCTTCTTCCTTCCCTCTCCCTCTCTTTCCCCCCACCCCCTCTTTTTTCCCTACCTCCTTTCCTCTCTCTCTTCCCCCTCCTCTTCTCTCTCTCTCTCTGCAAATTAAAATCTTTTTTTTAAAGGTGGGTGTGGCTCTAGATTGTTTTCTTTGCCTCTTGAATCAGTGGTCCTCATCATAAAAAGGCTTTTTACCCTCACCCTAAGACCATCTTTCTCAATACTCCCTAAGTGCACGCACGTGCAATGCCTAACAGATCTCAATATTTCAGTTGACCTACTTCCTAGTAGCAGTGTGACAAGAATGAGAATAAGTGCTTTAGAAATAGATGGGAAGTTGTTAGAGGAAAAGCATGATATAAAACCAGGGCGTTGTCATTGCAGCAAGCTCCCTGCTAGGCAGCATGGCTGGGGACTTCTGGTTGATCAAATATTCTGGATGATAAAAAATAACCCCCGCAAACATTTTGGAGAACAATAAGGCAGTATTTGATAGTACAGTGATGAATATCCTTGCCTGTCACCTGGGAGACTGGGGTTTGATTCCCAGATTTCTTGGGCAGTTAAATGGTGCAATGAATAGAGTGCTGGGCTTGGAATCAGGAAGACTCATCTTCCTGAGTTCAAATCTGACCTCAGACACTTATTAGCTGTGTGACCTTGGACAAGTCACAAGTTTGCCTCAGTTTCCTCATCTGTAAAATAAGATATAGAAGGAAATGGCAACCACTCGAGGATCTTTGCCAAGAAAACCCCAAATGGGCTCATGAAGAATTGGACACAACTGGATAACAACAATGGCAAAATTCAATAAGTCACAAAACTGATCATACCTTTCAACTAAATGATTCTACTGCTAGGGCTCTATGCTAAAAACATTAGTAAGGTGGGGGAGGCAGGGAATGTGATTACCTCTAATTTATCCTGTTTTAATTTCCAATATGGTAAATATTAATAGATATAACCCACATAAATAAAATGATGAAGAAACTGGGGATCAGAAAACTAAATGACTTGTCCAACTCATTTACTCACACAAGTAATACAGTCAGAGGAGGATCTGAACCCAGGGCCACACTCTAACGCAGGTCTTAACCTTTCTGTGTATTTTGAACACTTTTATCAGTCTGATAAAGCCTATGGACCCCTTTTCAGAATAATGCTTCTAAATGTGTAAAATAAAATACATGGGATTACAAAAGAAACCAATTACATTGAAGTATAGGTATCTGTCTTATCTATCCATCTATCTATCTATCTTAAGTTCATAGACCTTGGGTTAAGATCCCCTATGTAGAGGAATGAGTGCTGGATTTGCAGTTAGAGAGACTGAATTCAAATCCAAGCTCTTGTTGAATCACTAAACTCTGCTCCTCAGTTTCATAATCTATTTGAGTAATTGCTAAGGTTTCTTATAGCATTTCTAAACTGACGATCCTATAATCTCAACTCTGACATTCCATGATTCAAACAATAATGCATATTTTATAGTACTCCATGATTTACCAAGCGCATTTCTCGCAATAAATTTATGAGGTTATTGTACAAATATTTTTTTTTGTATGCTGTGATTTCATTGGTGCAGAGACATCCTCAAGAGCAGACTCTTTGTACCAATGCACATGGCATGTGTCTGGGCAACATCTGGTCCTAGAGAATAGCCTGAGGCACCAAGGGGTTAAGGGATTAGCTCAGGATCACACAGCCAGTATAAATCAGAGGTTGGAATTCATTAACTCATGCTGTCCTTTCTCCAAGGTGAGCCACCTAGCCACTGTTAGGCTCTCTACCCCATTTTACAAATGAGGAAACAGAGAATCTACCACTTCATTATTTGATCATAATGGGGAAAACCAACCTCAAAAGAACAGATTAAACCAAAGAAGTAGCAATGGACTCTCTGTGTTAATTGTGTACAACCTGCCATTACAGGCACTCATATGCAAATGAAGTATGCATATTAATTAGCAAAATGTCAGCCTTTCAGGAAAGGGACAGGCAATCTACAGGACTCTGTTTCTAAATAGAGCTCGGCAGGAAGCACCACAGTGGAAATCAGCTTGATATTCAAGAGAGAACTCTACAAATTCCCAAAGTCCCCATAGGAATAAGGAACATATCAGCAACCATTTCCATTTTTCCAGCTTGAGGTTCCATGCTTTTACTCTTTGTTTTCATAGATTTTCATCCAGTCAGTTAATATCTTCTCATTATCATTGTCTTGAGAAGCTCCCCCCTGTCTACAGGATACCATTTGAACTCCTTAGCTTGGTATTCAAAGCCTACCCATTTTGTCACTTAACCTCCCTGGGCACCAGTTTCCTCATCTGTAAAATGAGGAGATTGGACTAAATGACCTTTATGGTCCATTCCAACTCTAGATCTACAGTTTTAAATTCTCAGCCTTATCTCCCACAACGCTCCACATAGACTCTTTGCTTGAATTATTATGATATCTCACAATCCCCTCAACATTCCTTGAGCATTTCCATGTTTGTTTAAGGTGTTCCCCAGCCTAGAAGGCCCTTTCCTCTGCTTTCCACTTGTCCAAACACTGCTTGTCCTTTAGGGATCTGTTCAGGGCCTATCACTTCCCTAAAGTCGAGTGATCAAGGAGTATCTATACCAGGGGCTCTTAACCCTGTTTGTATGCTAAACGTCCTAGGCAGAAGTCTAGGGAAGGCAATGGACCCCTCAGAATAATTTTTGAAAGCATAAAATAAAATACCTGGGATTACAAAGGAAATCAATTATATTGAAATACATTTATCAAAATATATTCTTAAAAAATCCTAATTCATAGAATCCACGTTAAGTACCCACGCTCTCAAGCAGAGGTATCCAACTTTCAGCCCCCTCAGCCACAACACTCCTCAGTTCCCAGGAACCAGGTTAAAATGTAATTGGAGAATATTTGAAAAGAGAAATAAAAATGCAATAAAAACAGAACATTTCATTTTTAAACTAAGTCAAAATGCAGCCTGTATGGATCATTGTGTATGGTTTAGTGGCCCT